CTCATTTCCAAATCGAACGCAAAAAAAAAAAAAAATAAAAATAAAAGAAGAACCAGAACGCTGTAAAGACGAAAACAAAAAATGCAGGTCTTGTGAATTTTTATTTATTTTTTTTATCATGTTGTTATTGCATACAGTGATCCTTGTCATAGTGTTGGCAAAGATACCATTATCCTGAAGGGGTTGTGTGTCCTCTCTGTAAGGCCAGGGTGCTCTCTTCTAACCTTTTAATGATGTTTCGTTCCTCCCCCCCCCCCAAAAAAATCCTACAAACTGGTGAAGGTAGCGAGATACAAACCCGGTCAGGGCCCTCTCTTCCGTGATGACTGTTCTCCCAGATGACTGAAGTGTATGAGTGTGTGGACGCTTCCCTGTTTACCTCTAAATCTTGTTGTGTCCTGATCAGTATGCAAGACGGTATCCCAGTATGACTTTAGAAATAATTAATGAAATGTGTAGACGTCCCCAGCCATCTTGCTTGGAGGAGTGTGTTGTGTTCGCACGTAATAACATGGTTTAAGTAAGGTTAGGTTAGGTTGCAGCCGTGTTAGGAAAGTTGCAGGTGTGAGGTAGATAGTGTGAGGTACTTTGCTTGCGTGAGGACAACGATCCATTCTACTCATGGGCGTGGTGTGGGTGGTTGAGGGCGTGGCGTGGGCGTGGCGAGGATGGTGACGGGGCGAGACAATGGCATCAGTCATTGTGTTCACAGCTGCCGCAGACATTAAAGACGGTTGGTCCAGGCAGCGCTGACCCTACCTCCTCCTACTCTTCCTCCTCTTCCTGCTCCTCTTCTTCTTCCCCTTTCTCCCCCTACTCTTCCTCCTCCTCTATTCCTCGCCTTTTTCTTCCTCTATCTTCATCCTTATCTTCCTTCTCCTCTTCTTCCTCTTTCTCTTTTCCTATTCCTCATCTTCCTACTTCTCTTCCTCCTCCTCCTGCTCCTCCTCTCTCGTGTTGTCTTGTGTTTCTTTCTCATTATTCCTCTTCGCTATCTCTTTGGACTGATCTCTCCTCTCGTGTCTCTAACTCTTATCGTTCCTCTGTCCAGTTGTCTCATCATTCAGTCTCTCTCTTTCTGTTTTTTCTTCTCCCTCTCGTTCCGAAATCTCTCTAGTGCCACCCCCTCCCATTCCTTTTTCCCCCCACCACACCCTCGTTTCTCTCTCTCTCTCGTCACTAACCTCGTTGCCTTGTTGCTTTCGTCACAGCTTGACGTGTGTGTGTGTGTGTGTGTGTGTGTGCCCCCCCTAGCTAGGCAGTTTCACCCACCTTTAAATGACCTGGCCAGAGAGGCGGAACTGACATTCCCTGACCTGACCCAAATTGAATCCGACGAGGCAAACACTGACCTCTGCATTATATACTAAGGTATTAACGGAGTTTCACCGCCACTTTGCATGTAATGGATAAACTTTCTCTCTTTATCAATAATGCTCTCTATTTGTAAGTGCTCGACGATATTTTGTGCGATCTCTTTTGAAAGTGTGAGAAAATATCTTAAGAGTGTAAAAGAAAGTATTTTTGAACGTAGGAGAAAGTACTTAAAAGTATAGGATAAAGTACCTCAGGTGTACATTTTATCAGACTGCTCTGTAGTTCTGTTCTGGCTCAGTAAACTAAACAATTATTCCTGTTTCCACCCGAAGGTATTATGAGCAACCTCTAAGTGATTTTTAAAGAGAGGGGGGGGGGGGAGTTCCATCTTGTTGGTAGATAAATATATGTAGGTTTGTAAGTCCACCGATCATCCCCCCCTTAATCTCCTCTTGCACTTTACGTAAACTCATTGGATTCTCCTGGGCCTCTCCGCCACCCTCCCATGACCCTATTGTATTTCTGACCTCCCTCTGTCAGTTCCCGCGGTTGGTCCTCTTAGAAATTCTCGACGTTCTACTGTACCGAGACCGCCCAACCACCTCCTCCTTCCATTCTCTCTCTCTCTCTCTCTCTCTCCTCTCCCTCCTACTTTTCTTTCCCTTCCTATCCCCCTCTCTCCCTTCCTATCCCCCTCTCTCCCTTCCTATCCTCCTCTCTCCCTTCCTATCCCCCTCTCTCCTTCCTATCCCTCTCTCCTTCGTATCCCTCTCTCTCTCTCTTTCCCTCCCTCTCTCTCTCTCTTTCCTGTCCCTCTCTCTCTCTCTCTCTTTCCTATCCCTCTCTCTCTTTCTATCCCTCTCTCTCTCTTTCCTATCCCTCTCTCTCTCTTTCCTATCCCTCTCTCTCCTTCCCTATCCCTCTCTCCTTCCTATCCCTCTCTCCCTTCCTATCCCTCTCTCCCCTTCCTATCCCTCTCTCTCCCCTTCTATCCCTCTCTCCCCCATCCCTCTCTCTCCCTTCTATCCCTCTCTCCCGTCTCTCTCTCTCTCTCTCTCTCTCTCTCTCTCTCTCTCTCTCTCTCTCTCTCTCTCTCTCCTCTCTCCTCCGAGTTACAACTCTTCACTGCATCTTTCTCCCTCCCTCATTCTGCTCTTCCTCTTGGATATCAACAGGAACCATCCTTTCGTTTCCCCACACATCTTCTCAGCCTCCTTCTGCTTCTCCGCCCCCTTCTTCTTCCTCCTCCTCCCCCTTCTTCGTCCTTCCTCCGCCCCCTCCCTTCCTCCGCCCCCTCCCTTCCTCCGCCCCCTCCTTCCTCCCGCCCCCCTCCTTCCTCCGCCCCCTCCTTCCTTCGCCCTCCTTCCTCCGCCCTCCCTTCCTCCGCCCTCCTTCATCCTTCCTCTGCCTCTCCTTCTGTCCCGTGCGATTGTCTGTTAAGAGGGTCTTCTGGTCGCCGCCATGTTACCACTCGGTTAGGACAAATGAACCCTGGACATCTTGTTATCCCGACTTTCTCAGCACCCTTCACAAGCTCCCCTGTGGACCGAACGCTTTCCAGAGCCACGCGTTCTTTCTCTAGCCTCGTGTCGAAGCTGGAATTTTCAATAAAACTCCCCCTTTTTTTTCCCTCATCTCTAAAGCCAAAGTTTTTTTCAACTGAGATAGAAACTTAAGAGACACGTAAATAGAGGTAGATATAGGGACGAAATTAGAAGTTAAAGGGGTCTCTTTATCTCCTCATCGGCCGAGAGTCTCATTGTAACAGTAGTGGCGTTTTATGACATCTGGATATATTTTTGTGATCTGCTGCGCCCAGATATGTTCGACGATCGCTTTTGGGTTGACGTCGAAGCGTTGTGGAGCGGCGGGACAGCAGCCAGTTGGAAAATCGTGGGGAATTCGTCAAAAGGATTTCTCATGGTATAATTGGAAGACACCGGGACCCTCCTAGTTTTCTCCAATATTTGAGGGGATTTTTGGGGTGAGGAATATGGGTGGGGTAGAGTCTATGGTGGTGTGATGGAGTCTATGGTGGTGTGGTGGAGTCTATGGTGGCATGGTTGAGTCTATGGTAGTGGGGTGGTGTGATAAAAATTTGGTCGTTTGGTGGAGGTTCTTGTTCGTGTTGCAGTCTATAGTGTTGTGGTAGAGTTTATGGTGATTTGGGGTTTTATGGTAGTGTGGTAGAGTCTGTGTCTGGTAGGGTCCATGGTAGTGTGGTAGAGTCTGTGTCTGGTAGGGTCCATGGTAGTGGTATAGTCTGTGTCTGGTAGGGTCCATGGTAGTGTGGTAGAGTCTGTGTCTGGTAGGGTCCATGGTAGTGTGGTAGAGTCTGTGTCTGGTAGGGTCCATGGTAGTGTGGTAGAGTCTGTGTCTGGTAGGGTCCATGGTAGTGTGGTAGAGTCTGTGTCTGGTAGGGTCCATGGTAGTGTGGTAGAGTCCGTGGTAGTGTGGTAGAGACCCATCTTACGTCGATAAAGAATACATGGACATAGTAAATTACGACACAATATAAACATTATCAGTAACAGCTACACTCATCTGTCGCCCAAGAACGACATTACAGGTACTGGAGAACATCTGGAGCGGATCAACTTCCGGATAAAAAACACAAAATAAAAACACGACCCGTTGAAGCTTGTGTTGGTTTGTGTCATGTTGTCGTGTTAAGTGCTTCTCTGTGGCTGTTGACGAGTCATTACCACACACCAACCACTGAGGTGATCACGAGGCTGGGGGAGGGGCTAAGTTGGTATGGGTTGTTAGAGGTGCTGTGCATGGTAGGTTTGTAGGGGAAGTTTGTGGATAGGTTGGTTGGGAGGTGGATGGGATGGTGGGTGGGGTCATACGTGAGAGGGTAATGTGGAATGGGTAGTGATAGTGTACTGGGGGAGTGTTGGCGGCTCGACCTTATCTTAACCTGGCCTAATGACACCCTCAAGGGCACGCCAGACTTCGATCTCGACCCACAAATCTGAAAGGGAAGGAAGGTCCCTTAGGGGGTCAGGGAGCCGGAAACACTGTCCTTATTGTGAGGCCCAGCCAGGTCACCTCCCCCCTTCTGTGTGTGTGTGTGTGTGTGTGTGTGTGTGTGTGTGTGTTTGCGTGTGTACAGTAATTTGGTTGTGTCTATTTGCTTGTTCTCGGTCGACTGTTTAACTCATTTATTTTGTCTTCTATATTTATGTACTGTATTGCGAGGCTCTATGTCATTTACTACCATTCATCCTCTCACGCACACGCACACGCACACACACACACACACACACCTCCAAGTACTACACCTTTATATACGGACTGTCTCGTCGTTTTCTGATATTCGGGACATGTAATCCTGTATTGCCAGGAGAGCGTGAAGTCCTCCCTCCTCTCTTTGTCTTAAAGGTGTCGGCTGTCTCCACAAGGTTGCCGGTGAGGTAGAGTTGGCAACATTGATCATTTCCTCACCCAAGGTAGGGTCTGTTTGTCTGTCTGTCTGTCTGTCTGTCTGTCTTGAGATAGCTGCCTAGACCGTCGGCGTCTGGAAGTAGTATTAGCGGCGAAACCAGTGCTTGAGTGTAGGTCATTCCATATAGAAACATTTATCAATTAAGGTAAAAACAAAATATCATTGAACAGTTTAATCAAGATTTTTTAAATAAGCGATAAATGATCCAGTGAGTTCGTTCTCATTTCTTTTTTTACTGAATTAAAGTTATTCGAGATGAAATGGCCTCAGGTTGTGGGAGGGTAGAGGGCGCCCTTGGTGGAGGGGTCGTTGTGGTAGTCGTTCTTGGTGGAGGGTCGTTGTGGTAGTCGTTCTTGGTGGAGGGTCGTTGTGGTAGTAGTTCTTGGTGGGAGGTCGTTGTGGTAGTCGTTCTTGGTGGAGGGTTGTTGTGGTGGTCGTTCTTGGTGGAGGGTCGTTGTGGTAGTCGTTCTTGGTGGAGGTCGTTGTGGTAGTCGTTCTTGGTGGAGGGTCGTTGTGGTAGTCTTTCTTGGTGGAGGGTTGTTGTGGTAGTAGTTCTTGGTGGAGGGTCGTTGTGGTAGTCGTTCTTGGTGGAGGGGTCGTTGTGGTAGTCGTTCTTGGTGGAGGGTCGTTGTGGTAGTCGTTCTTGGTGGAGGGTCGTTGTGGAGTCGTTCTTGGTGGAGGGTCGTTGTGGTAGTCGTTCTTGGTGGAGGGTCGTTGTGGTAGTCGTTCTTGGTGGAGGGTCGTTGTGGTAGTCGTTCTTGGTGGAGAGGTCGTTGTGGTAGTCGTTCTTGGTGGAGGGTCGTTGTGGTAGTTCGTTCTTGGTGGAGGGGTCGTTGTGGTAGTCGTTCTTGGTGGAGGGTCGTTGTGGTAGTCGTTCTTGGTGGAGGGTCGTTGTGGTAGTCGTTCTTGGTGGAGGGGTCGTTGTGGTAGTCGTTCTTGGTGGAGGGTCGTTGTGGTAGTCGTTCTTGGTGGAGGGTCGTTGTGGTAGTCGTTCTTGGTGGAGGGTCGTTGTGGTAGTCGTTCTTGGTGGAGGGGTCGTTGTGGTAGTCGTTCTTGGTGGAGGGTCGTTGTGGTAGTCTCTCACCCGTCTCTCATTGGTCGATTGTTTACATTCGGGAACTCTGGACGATAGTCTATGTCGGCTACCACCTGCATCTTTGATGAGTCCGCAGGTGGTGGTGTGGTGTGGTGGTGGTGGGTGTGGTGGGGTGGTGGTGGTGTGTGTGGTGGTGGTGTGGTGTGGTGTGGTGTGGTGGTGGTGGTGTGGTGTGTGGTGGGTGTGGTGTGGTGGTGGTGGTGTGGTGTGGTGGTGGTGTGGTGTGGTGTGGTGTTGGTGGTGTGGTGGTGGGTGTGGTGGTGTGGTGTGGTGGGGGTGGTGTGTGGTGTGGTGGTGGTGGTGTGGTGGTGGTGGTGTGTGGTGTGGTGTGGTGTGGTGGTGTGGTGTGGTGGTGTGGTGTGGTGGTGGTGTGGTGTGGTGGTGTGGTGTGGTGGTGTGTGGTGGTGGTGTAGTGTGGTGTGGTGGTGTGGTGTGGTGGTGGTGTGGTGGTGTGGTGTGGTGTGGTGTGGTGTGGTGTGTGGTGGTGGTGTGGTGGCGGCTTTGATTGGAGTTAAGACTTGTAACTATGGTAGTCATTTAAGTAGTGATGGTGATGGTTTGATGAAGCCGGAGGAGAGCAGTCTCGTGACCTCGTCGTTGTGGTGACTGATCTTGGTGACTGATCTTCATGTTGGTGACGCTGGTGACTGGTGTTGGTGACTGATCTTGGTGACTAATCTTCATGTTGGTGACCGGTGTTGGTGACTGATCTTCATGTTGGTGACTGATCTTGGTGACTGATCTTCATGTTGGTGACCGGTGTTGGTGACTGATCTTCATGTTGGTGACTGATCTTGGTAACTGATCTTCATGTTGGTGACCGGTGTTGGTGACTGATCTTCATGTTGGTGACGTGTTGGTGACTAATCTTCATGTTGGTGACCGGTGTTGGTGACTAATCTTCATGGTGACTGATCTTCATGTTGGTGACTGGTGTTGGTGACTAATCTTCATGTTGTGACTGGTGTTGGTGACTAATCTTCATGTTGGTGACTGATCTTCATGTTGGTGACTGATCTTCATGTTGGTGACTGGTGTTGGTGACTGGTGTTGGTGACTAATCTTCATGTTGATGACTGGTGTTGGTGACTGATTTCCATGTTGGTGACTGGTGTTGGTGACTGATCTCCATGTTGGTGACTGGTGTTGGTGACTGATCTTCATGTTGGTGACTGATCTTGGTGACTGATCTTCATGTTGGTGACCGGTGTTGGTGATTGGTGTGGTGACTATCTTCATGTTGGTGACTGATCTTCATGTTGGTGACTAATCTTCATGTTGGTGACTGATCTTGATAACTGATCTTCATGTTGGTGACTGGTGTTGGTGACTGATCTTCATGTTGGTGACTGATCTTGATAACTGATCTTCATGTTGGTGACTGGTGTTGGTGACTGATCTTCATGTTGGTGACGCGTTGGTGACTAATCTTCATGATGATTACCGGTGTTGGTGACTAATCTTCATGTTGGTGACTGATCTTCATGTTGGTGACTGGTGTTGGTGACTAATCTTCATGTTAGTGACTGGTGTTGGTGACTAATCTTCATGTTGGTGACTGATCTTCATGTTGGTGACTGGTGTTGGTGACTAATCTTCATGTTGGTGACTGGTGTTGGTGACTAATCTTCATGTTGATGACTGGTGGTGACTGATTTCCATGTTGGTGACTGGTGTTGGTGACTGATCTCCATGTTGGTGACTGGTGTTGGTGACTGATCTTCATGTTGGTGACTGATCTCCATGTTGGTGACTGGTGTTGGTGACTGATCTTCATGTTGGTGACTGGTGGTGATCTTCATGTTGGTGACTGGTGTTGGTGACTGATCTCCATGTTGGTGACGTGTTGGTGACTAATCTTCATGTTGGTGACTGGTGTTGGTGACTGATCTTCATGTTGGTGATTGGTGACTGGTGTTGGTGACTGGTGTTGGTGACTGATCTTCATGTTGGTGACGCGTTGGTGACTAATCTTCATGTTGGTGACTGGTGTTGGTGACTAATCTTCATGTTGGTGATTGGTGACTGGTGTTGTTGACTGGTGTTGGTGGTGGTGTTGGTGAGTGGTGTTGGTGACTGATCTTCGTGATGATATAGTTAGTCACCTCCAAGCTCCACCCTCCCTTCCTCACCCCACCACATCTCCAGTCGACTCCAGCCTCTAACCTCACCCTCTCACAACCTCTGCCCTGTTCCATAATTTCTTTACCTCACCTTTCCACCACCTCTTCATCTCCCCATAACCTCCTTCCCTCTCCACCCCTCCACTTCCCTCTCCCCTCCACTTCCCTCTCCACCCCTCCACTTCCCTCTCCACCCCTCCACTTCCCTCTCCACCCTCCACTTCCTTCTCCCACCTCCCGTCCCTCTCCACCCCTCCACTTCCCTCTCCACCCTCCACTTCCTTCTCCCACCTCACTTCCCTCTCCACCCCTCCACTTCCTCTCCACCCCTCCACTTCCTCTCCCCACCCTCCACTTCCCTCTCCACCCCTGCACTTCCTATCTACCCACCTCCACTTCCCTCTCCCCCCCCTCCTCTCCCACCCTCCACTTCCCTCTCCACCCCTCCACTTCCCTCTCCACCCCTCCTTCCTATCTACCCACCTCCACTTCCTCCACCCCCACTTCCCTCTCCACCCCTCCACTTCCCTCTCCACCCCTCCACTTCCCTCTCCACCCCTCCACTTCCCTCTCTTCCCTCTCCACCCCTCACTTCCCTCTCCACCCTCCACTTCCCTCTCCACCCTCCACTTCCCTCTCCACCCTCCACTTCCTTATCCACCCCTCCACTGCTAGTTTTCCTCAACATCGATTTCACACCCGTGGCACTTTAATGAGGCATTGATTTTCTCTCTCTCTCTCTCTCTCTCTCTCTCTCTCTCTCTCTCTCCTCGTTCGCAATTATCATGCGGCAATAAATCTACACCACTGAAGCCCCGGATCTGAATATATAGGATGGGCCACACTTGAGATGGCCAGAGGAGAGGGAGGGAGTAGAGACAAGGAGAAAGAAGGAGAGAGAGACAAATAGATAATAGAAATGGAGAGAGAGAGAGAGAGAGAGAGAGATGGATGACGTGGTAGCAGATTGATAGATAGATAGATAAAACTAGAGATAAGATAGACAGACAGGTAGACAGATAGACAGAGCTGACGTTATACCCTCCACTTGGTAATAATAAGGACTCATGATCCGGCAGGCTAGGCTATCGGACAGGCTAGACTATCTGGCAGGCTAGACTATCTGGCAGGCTAGACTATCTGGCAGGCCAATCAAACAGTACCAAGCTCCGGGACCCAATACTCTGAGGTCCCCAGGGGTGGTAGCTCGTCTCCCACACAACCACCAGCCGTCCACAAACATACAATCAGGGCACCTTTCTCTCTCTCTCTCTCTCTCTCTCTCTCTCTCTGTCCAGTTTTCTTCATATCCTCTTAAAGATTCTATGAGCAACATAACAAAACATTACTGACCTTGATAGATATTAATTCAGAATACCACTCTTTATTACATACTAATACTCAGGGTCTTGTTAGAGGACGCGAGGATTCATTGAAAAAGGGAAATTTTCCACCAGTGTGTTATACCGTTCCTCAAGTAACTGTATTTTGATTGGTTGAAAATTGTATAATGTATCTGTATTGAGAAGTGTCGGATCACCTGGAGATTAATCTCTCTCTCTCTCTCTCTCTCTCTCACCCCCCTCAGCATCATTCCACTTCATAATTTTGGGAGGTAATTTTAGGTTGGAGTTAGGTTGAGTTTATAACCTGGTGAGGCTAATCTAAGAGTGGTCCCAAAAGCGTCTTAGGCTCCTCCACTTCCCTCTTAACTCCTCCACTTCCCTCTTAACTTCTCCACTTCCCTCTAACTCCTCCACTTCCCTCTAACTCCTCCACTTCCCTCTAACTCCTCCACTTTCCTCTAACTCCTCCACTTCCCTCTAACTCCTCCACTTCCCTCTAACTCCTCCACTTCCCTCTTAACTCCTCCTCCACTTCCCTCTAACTCCTCCACTTTCCTCTAACTCCTCCACTTCCCTCTTAACTCCTCCACTTCCCTCTAACTCCTCCACTTCCCTCTAACTCCTCCACTTCCCTGAATTCAAACTGGACATGAAATTTGAACACAGAAAACGGAGGACGGAGGACTATGACAAACGTTCATGACTCCGCTACCTCTCTGGGGATTTTTTCCGTACTTTTAATTAGAAGGTTAATCACTGAAGGCAATTAATCTCAACAGGTACTCAGGTTGTTGCCAGGTGTGTTTATTATCGAGAGACAACTGGATAAGGTGCATTATAGGCAGATCAAGATGTGCGATTATAGAGGTGACACTGTTGGAGACAAAGGCCTGAAACCTAGCCTAACCTAACCTAGTCTAACCTAACCTAGTCTAGCCTAACCTAACCTAATCAAGCTTAAACTAATCAAACCAAACCTAATTAGAGTCAACTAATGTGAAGGATTTCCCCGTCAATAACACGTACTAGGTTAAGGCAGGTCAGGTCAACACCAACCATTAATAACCAACACACAATCACCCTTAACGACCACCACCTCACCATCACCCAGCCTAGACTACTGCTACCACCACACCACCACCACACTTTTAACGACCTCCACCACACACTCCTCGACCACCTTGTCGTTGTGAAGTATCCTTGAGCAAACAGTCATAACGCATACCACCCCTCCCACTTCCTCAAACCTCCCCACACCCCTAAAACCTCCCCACCACCCTAAACCTCCCCCACCACCCCTAAAACACCTCCCCACCACCCCTAAAACCTCCCCCCACCCCCTAAAACCTCCCCCACCACCCTAAAACCTCCCCCCACCACCCCTAAAACCTCCCCACCACCCCCTAAAACCTCCCCACCACCCCTAAACCTCCCCCACCCACCCCTAAAACCTCCCCCCACCACCCCTAAAACCTCCCCCACCACCCCTAAACCTCCCCACCACCCCTAAAACCTCCTCCCACCCCTAAAACCTCCCCCCACCACCCCTAAAGCCTCCCCCCACCACCCCTAAACCTCCCCACCACCCCT